ACCGTGCTAATCTCAACGGTTTAATTAAGACACGAGTCAAAGTCCGGATAAATGGCTCGAATGTGAAATCGTTTGCACTTTGCGATGTGAGAATCGAATGTGTTTTGTGCGCCTAACCCACGTACAGAAGCTCGTTCTCCATCACTATGCCAACCCACGAGGTCTGGACCGTTCCTCAATCACTGGTTATGTGGGCTAGATCATGGCCAACAAGACAACAAATATGATGTGTTCTCCTACGAACTGTACAAATTACCTTCAACATTGTCCGGGAAATTTCACCTATTTCAAGCCATGAAAAACCTAAAAGTACATTGGCCACTATTATTGTCAATCTTGTTTTTGTTTTGTTGGGTCGATAATATTGTCAATCTCGAAAGTAGAAGTAAAGAGTATTGGCCGCAAAAGGATGTGAATTGGGTCTGTTTGGTTACCCGGCGAATGGAGGTAGTGGGAATGGGAATTAGATCCTTGTTCTCTTTTCCCGACAGTATCTGGTGGCACGAAATGGAGTCGAATGGATGTCAAAGCTCGAAATGAATGAGTAAAATCCACAAATATCATATGTTTATATTGAGATGCGCATGTGAGTTGTGTTAGAAAAGTCTCACATCGAATAATCGTTGTAGTGTGTAGTAGTTAATATATCTTAATTTGTCCATAATTCTTTGGCTAGAATTTTTGAGTGAAGGTAGGTCTAATCAGATGTACTTCTCTCTCGGCGATCTCCCTAGGTAAATGTATCGAAATTCCACGGCGTGCTCCAAACAATTGGCATCAGAGGGGATGATCAATTGGCGGCCCTCGAAGTCCCACGTTAGAGATTTTCACATTTTGAGTGAAAATGGGTCCAAATGGATGTATTAACAAACTCCGACTTGAACTCCCTCTTAGTGACCTCCAAGTTAAGCTATCGAGATTTGTGCCGCACGCTCCCACCAATTTATGATAGACTAATAGTTAAGTGAGGGCCTAATAAGCGGCGGTACGTAGCTATATAAGCTTGTTTCTGTAATATATCAAGTCATGAGCTGTGGCTTGAGCTCCCTCTCGACGATCTTCAGGTAAATGTATCGAGATTTGTGCTGCTCGCTCGCACCAGCTTATGATAGACTAACAGTTAAGCGCGGGCCGACTAAGCGGCGGTAGCTGTAATGAACTTGTTTCTGCGATATTACCAGGTCATGAGCTATGACCACGTTTTGGTCTCGCTTGATGTTGATCTGTCGACGCAAATCCTCTCGAAAGCAGACCGGCTAGAACGAAAGGCGATGGTCCTCCTGCCTGCGTCCCATTGCGTTCGTTTGTTGTAGGGGCACTGCAATTCGCAACAGCGAGAAGCGACTGCACCTTGTACCCACCTTCAAACCCCACCTAGGTACTTTAAATGTTTGTCCATTAGCTATCATGTTTCAATTCCCGTAATAGCATCTGCTCTCCTTATTCGTGTATTTTCGTTGTGTTTTTTCTCTTCTTTTTCTTTTCTTTTCTTTTCCCCACGTTTTTGTTGCCTTCCCTTTCGTTCTTCGGTGCAGCACATTCTGATGCCGGACTAACCGTTCTCCATGAAAATTTTTCGATCGTCACGAAGTTTTCAGCGAAATAAACGCATTTTTAAATCAGAGCCCACGAAAAACATTTTCTGTGAATCGATTTGTTTTTCCGTCATCTAAACACCGGAAAGTCGGGAAATAGTTTTTCAAAAACAGCTTTTTTTCCAAACAAATGGGTCCTGAGTCCCGTTAGTTATGCTTAAGAAATTTCCTATGATAAGTTCATCAATTGGTGCATATTCGTACAGCAAAAGTTGTCCAGTCAACATGAGGCGGTTTTGTTTAGTCAAAAATGCGAACAAAAACCAGAGCTCATGTCTGGACCATAATAGGATTTGGCCACATAGAGAATAGTGTGAATGATAGGTTTTAGAATGGAGCCAATGCGGCTAAAGCCGGAAAAGGACATTTATGGTGTGTGAAAATTGGACCGAATGCTACCTAACTAGAGCAAAATTATAAATAAATAAAAAAAATAGGATTGAACCGAAGTTATATAGGCACGTATAGATGATTAAATAGAAACTTCTATCAATCCTTGAGTAGATAGGAGCAGGATTAAATCTATTACACTTTTGCCAATTCAGTCATAAATCTTTTAATTGTGCCAAATTTTTTTTTTGATAATAAACATTTTCATGTTTTGCTAATTGAGTCCATCTGGTCAATTTGGCTTGAAATCGCTGACATAGATGCCGGCCGTCCTACGTGGCATGGCCGGCGCTGACTTGAATAATTTTTAATAGTTTTAATTTTTTTTTCTTTTTTCCCTTCGTCCTCAAGCGGGTCGCCAGGCCTCAACGATCGGCCAAAGTCGAGGGCCGGCGAGGTCGACCTCGCCCGGCCATAGCGAGCCATAGCAATGGCAAGCTTCACTAGAGGCCGGCGAGCCTCGCACTCTCACCTTCACTTGGTTTTCCATTCACTTTCACCAATTTAACCCATTGACAACATTCAACCACTCTAATATCCACATACATAAGGTTACAAGCCCGCAATACTTGGTTAGCCATGACTATCCACGTTGAATAAAATCCGAAATGTTCAAGATTACTTAGCTCCTAATGATTATATCTATTGGTCGATTCATGTCGTACGATTCGATTCGATTCGAGATCTAAGCGATATGTATCTATTAGGAGAATTGCTAATCTCCTTAATCGCGAGTCAATTTACAATTTAATACATATCCATCAATTCGATTTTTTGTATGGTTTACCTGTCAAATAATATAACTCTATCATGTATTTTCTGATGCATGTTGTATTTTGATAGTTATAAAATCACTGACATTGAACTTAAATGAAACGACATATAAATATTTTTATTTATTTATATTTGAATGCAATCCTTATGTTAGTAAAACAATGGGAAATTATATCTACTTATGGATAGGGATCGTCGCTTGTGCTCGAAATTAAGATTTCTTTTTAACATATCATATGTCTTACTCACCTTTTCACACCATACGTGGTCATCCACAAAATCTATAAATGCCCACGATAAAAAAAATACTAATATCAAGGTATTTCACCGAATTGTTACGATTCGACTCGATTCGATTTGATTCATGATTCATAATGCGAATATTTAAAATGCAGATTCAGGACACACGTCTCAAAATACAAACTACACTAAAGATACAGAAAAGGAATGTGATAGCTGCGCGTGCTGAAATCTAACTTGCTGGATAAAGAAACGCGGACTTTGATTAGCCATTTCAGCAACTATCGACCTCCTAATTCCCACGCAAATGTATCGGCAACTCCCGGATTCGACCCTCAAAAAGGAAGTAGTTGCAGATTATGGCACAGCACGACATTCTTCGATCAGAGAACGAATGTCACAACACGTAAGAAGAAGCAAGGCCAAAGGGTGTTAGGTAAACATCGTTCTCTGATGAGAATTGACGCAACCTGTTAAACCGTCGTCGACCATAGAGTAGATGGTTGCCCACTTAAGGACATGTCTTATGTTGTTCATTGCGGGCTAAGAAGATATGGTCTATAGAGTGTGTCGTGTCACGGTTGCGCCTACATCTTTGATGTGTAGCCAAAGAAAGGAAAGAGCTGGTTGGTATTGAGCACCCAACCAGTTACATCTCCACACGAAGAAAAGTTCCCTTTGATTACTTAGAAAGAAAGAAAGGATGAAAGAAAGAGAGCAGAGGAATTGTAGGTCAGTTCATTTAAATTTAAGCTTCTGAAGGAAGTGTCACGACTTGTTTGAGTACTTTCAAAACTCCTCCACAAATGCAACCTAGTATTTTGGTTTCGAGAATAGACCATGAAGATTAACGTCGAACAAGAAAACTTCGTAGTATTGTTATGCTATATACATGATTTATAGTTTTAAATTTTTTCCTACAGAAATCACCTTTCTCACCATTAATTTAGATAGTAAGTAAAATTCGTAAAAGTATAATCGCCCACATCAATGAAGAATTTTTGTGCGATCACTATCACCATACCGAGTAGTGTCGCCAATTATCATATATGATTAATTTATTTTCCTAGAATGCCAGAATTGAGAAAAGTTGCATACGACATGCAAACCTATCGCGTGAAAGCCATTAATAATGCCTTTACTATGCCTACCTCAACTAACCCACCAAAAACCGTATTTTCGACCTCGAACAACAAATTGGAAGGCTGTTTTCAACCCAGAGTGTAATTACTACTTAGGGTTACATTAGGAAAATTTAAGGACAACTAGACTCCTGATGCCAATTTGACAACCGAAATGTCTAGTGTCATTTGTCTTCCGATTGACTAACCACATAATCTCAAAAGGAAGAATTTTTTTTAAAAGAAAAGGCACGAGGGATATCAATAGCCCCTTCTGATTCTTGTCACACATTGTCAGAGAAGGTATGAATGAATTGCTTAGAAGTTGCATTATGACGAGCCTTCCTATTCTCCTACCTCTCAATCTCCTTTTACCCCATCATTTTATAGAAAAATAAAGTGTTGATGAATCAACGTATCATAGAGCCCAGAATAATTTCCAGAGCAAAAAATTTAGAATCTCATAAGAAGGGAATGGAACCGCCAAAGACCTAATTTCCACATAGCCCATCAAGCCCAAGTCGGAAAAGCCTCTGCCTCTTTCATCGTCGTTCATGTTATTCTACAGAGAGCCTCATCTTCCTTTCATTTTCTTTTGTCCCAAGCAATTCATCTCTTCGCAACTCACTGAGGTCTAGGCCAGGCTGATCGATGATGGAGTGCGCATCGTGGCTTATCGTAGCTTAGGTTTAGCACCATGAACGGTCACAAACCAACCAAGGGATCCTTGTGTGAGCCTTAGAATAGAGACCCGCGAGTCTTGTTCTGTTGACGGGCCATACTTTAGATATTGAGATGGAAGCCACCAAATGAAAAATGCAGTAATACAGCTACTTATTCCTGCTAGAGCTCGGATATTTGAGATTCTGAAATGCAGAACTTTAAAATCAATCGAGATTTGGCAGCAACATTTATTACTTAAAACAAAATAGCAGAGAAGTTCCCAGATACTTTAACTTATCCAGAGTTTAGCTGGCTTTGCTATATGATGAACTATAATTGTACTCGAGACTACCCTGACTGCATAAATAAATACAACTATGTAATAATTGGATTTTAGTAGGACAGGTCGACGCTGAGAATTTACAACAGGATGCTTTCCTTGGAATCACGAACAGCTCGATGACTGCGACCTCCAGGAAGCTGGGTGTTACACTGAAAGGAAAATGTGACAGATTTTCAATTAATAATTTGGCAACAAATTTCATTCACGAGCATCTTCTTTATTTTGATCAACATAACAGAACTTGGAAAAGTTGCACAGCTTATAGTTAAAACAAATGAATTGTGATGGTCAAAACAGAACACAGTAATATCAGCGAACTAAATCCAAACCTTAAGCTACAGTTCCACAAACCAATCATACTTCCTCATACCCATCATCTAATTTCCATCTCTTGGAAAGTTTTAAATAAAACCAAACAATTACAAGAAAAATCTACAGGAAACTATCAAAATAAGGATATGCACTCTTCCTAGATTCTCTACTAGAATCCATGGCTACCACATACACAGTTCATCAATCTTCAAGGGGGAAATCTCCACATCCTTTTTGAGTTGTTCTAACCGAAAATCAATTTACTCTAACATCCTGGAGAAATGGGTAGACTCTAATCACTCATTGCTGGTATTTGCAAATACAAGTCCATGCTTATCCAACTCATGCCAACTAAACTCGATACAAAATTTTCTAAATGCTTTTGATGCCAATGTTCAACTGTCCTTTTGCTTCAGACAAAAGTCCATGACATAAACCCACCCAACAAAAGGCTGAAAGTGACATTTACAAATATCTCTTAATCAGAAAGAACCTAAAGAAGCTACTAATCCTACTCAGAAAAGAAAAGAACTGGCAAAATCATCTTCAGCATGCATAATCTAGGGAACTTGTAGTCGTAGGTCCTCAACTCATATATACTATTTGTATAAACAATCGAGAATGAGAGAATTACTAGCTAGTTCCGAAAAGGAAATAAAGAACAAGAAATATTCAAACCTGGAAATGCGGCAATATGATCAGATCTTAGCGACTTTCAAAGATTCTTCTGCTTTACATGGTGGGCTGCTTCTATACATTGCAAAAAGGGGTAAGTCATCTCAATTCAGTTGGTAAGTGTAATTAGAAAATAAGCAAATAGCCAGTTTCTTAAACTAATGCAAAGTGAGCAAGGATATCATTCAGGCTGAGATGTATGGCCAAAGTAAACATGGACAGGCAAATTGCATTACTGCATAGAACAAGGTTTACACCTGAGGCTTAAAGGACCATCTCATTTATCATGTGACCAACGATGATGACTAATACTACTGGTCAATTGAAACTCATTCTTTAAGATTGACAAGCCAAGCCCCAGACCGATGGTTAATGTTTCTAGAACTACGAGCCGACATCACAGGCAATAGTAACAGGATTGGTAAAGGTGAGGAAAGAGCCAATATATCAACCCTTAAGAACTCCCAAAGCATCAAACTCCTGTGCACCATTGATGGCAGAGGCACGAGCAGCACAGTGCCACCAATGGTCTTTGAAAGTGGTTGTTTGACAGTCGGTCAAATAACTAGCAGACAAGAACTCTACTCCACCGTGGGAGGTTGTCACTGATGTCTACGACCTTCAAAGCTTACTACAGTTTGATATGTTTGCAAGCAAGATAATTGTCTCTTCAACATCCTTGATGGACATGTATTCTAAGAGCTGCTAATCAGCTATCACAAGAAGTCAATTAGTGGGGACTAACTTAGCAACCTCTAACCTTTTTCATGTCCAGGATGTACTATTTTTCTCATGGAGGCTTTTATATATAGCTAAGTGTATTAATATGATTCAGGAATGAAAGACCCTTTTTCTTCAAAAAGACGACTCGTTTTGTGGAAAGCTTATGTCGACCGAATTTGAGTGGTGAAATGGTGTTAAAATCATTGACCCCTATGTGCAAATCACGAGGTCTACAGATGCAATATGCACCTTGGCTTTGGAGTGTGATCGCCATTAGCACGGCGGCCTGTGAGCTCTGGAACCCACACAGCCTAGGATGTAAATGTGACAGCGATTTGTAAACCGAAGGTAACAACAACTGTGCTGTGGGTTAGTGAGAACTCAAGTCTGACGTGGAGTTGGAAGGATTTGTTATTTGACATATAAGTTCAGACTTCACACTCATTCCCAACTTTCAACACCAGAGTATTCCTAATAGCAAGTGATCTGCATGGACATAAGCCTGATAGTTGCATTAGGCTTCAACTGAGCCACAATTCTACCCTCGCATATGGTCTCAATTTAGCTACAGCAAGAAAAAAAGGACTTGCATATATCGTATTGAAATTATATATATTTAGACCTACATATTATGTGCCCTAAAACTATAAGGATCAAAATGAATAGGCCTTGATTGAGGTGCCTCAAATTAGGGACCTACATATTATGTCCATCTTTGCACCGATCTACCCCGATAGAAAATGCCAACTATCCAAGTGCATGTGCTCCACCGGAGTTGATAAAGTGCTAAAAATATATTGAGATTTGAAATAATATTCGGCCAAATCTGGCCTTCAAATCTCATGGTTTCATTTTTTTATCACTCTAAGTTTACAAAACTTAGACATTACTTGAATGCTTTATATTTTACCCCACAATATTGAGTAGTTTATCAAGAGAACTCACCTTAGACAGCAGAATCTTTTGGCTGTCAATAAAGTACTGATTGGGATGATTGATGCCAGCATCACATGTTGATCCATGAACAGCTTCAAATGTTAATGTACATGCCACCTGAATTCATGGGAAAAGAACATGCATGAGCAACACTCACTAAAGGGAAATAACAAGCACTAGGAAGCAAGTTATGGGGTGTGTTTTCAGACCTGATAATGTCGGTTTCGCACTTTGTCAATTATATCGTCCATTCCTCGATTACCTACTCCCATTCTACCAAGAGCAGCCCTTAGATTTTCTTCACTGTCACATACAATTGATGAACCAAGATCAACATGCATGGCTCAGTATAGATACTGTCTTTCTTACATTTCAGAAGCAGCATAATGTTGTGATATGGAGTCAGATATTGCACTATAGATATCACCACAAAGATGGATGCAATCGTGTTGCTTAAAAAGTATACGATAAGTAATCTATGACGTTAACTACAGATTAAAATCCATACAAGCATATAAAACTTAATTAAGGAGCTGAGACAAAACTTTAGTCATAGAAATAAAACTTAATTGTGTACCCGTAGCCAGAGCAAGTCTTGGCTGCACCAAGTGCAGGTGAACCAAACTCATGCAACTTTAGAGCTGTTGGGTCCCACGGGCCCACCTCATACAACGGGGAATATGAGTTGGGCTCACATGGACCGGAGCAGCCAAGAATGTTCCTTGTTACTACAGGTATCTCTTCATCTAACTCAAAATTGGTTCAAGCAAGTAGATATTAATACAGCAATTGGATGGACAAGCCAGTAATTCTTATCCATTATTAGAGAATCAGCACAAACAAAAACGTGGAGCTCCAGTATGACAGCTTTCTAGATGCCTCTACAGCTTGGAATCATTGGAGATGATCCAGTTAGGCAGTTACACATGTTTGTTCAACTGATGTAAATGTCACTATCATATGACATGGTTGTTATTATGTAGTCTGTTCCTAGGTATAAGGAAATTTAATCACCAGTAGTCAAGATCAACAGTACAAAAGCTTTAACTGTGATTTTACAGAATTACAACTGGCTTAGGTCATGAACCCTGTCCGGAAACATCCAGGCCTTCTCCCATGATCAAATAGTAGTTAAATGTTAGCAGTTGATAGGTGATCCACCTGGGATTTATATTGAAACATAGTGTCAAACTGGAACTACACGCATTGATGACATAGTCATTGCATTATACGTGAAACAATGAGACTGCAATCCTAATCCTGGAGGTCAGGAACATGTAACATGCCCAGTCAACACCCTCTCCTCCTTGCAAGAGTTGAGGAGGAAAAGAATGACTTGCATCATGAGTGAGGCCAAATAATTCCATTATCACCTTGTCATTACCTAAACAAAAACAATCTGTACTTTTCTTCCACAGAATATATAATATATGCCACAGGTGCTTAACAAATTATTACCACATTTCAGCAAGGTTTTCAACTTATGTAGGATTTGCTATCCAATATTAAAAAAATACAGCAGGTTCCCAAGCATGGTCTAACGAGTGACAAAAAATGTCTCCGCTACATCCTCCAGGCCACATCCATGTTTCACAACATGAAAAGTAGGCAAGGACTTCGAAGAAATTCCTTAAGAAACATAGTATTTTTAAAATGTTTGATGACAACAGAGAACTGTGATGCTATTTCAATACATAAAACAGTGAAAACCTACATGACAGCTAGAACTAGAATGCAGCACAAGGATGGTATTTGGCGAGCTTTAAAATGGTGATTTAGTACTATGAGGTGAATATGGTAACGGCACTAATTCCATGGCCTAAAATGATGTGACTGCACAAAAATCAGTGATGCCTTCTCCTTGCTCCTTGGCCTTGTTCATAAATTGACATGTACATAACCTTACAAGTAGAGGTTGGCAGTTAAAATGTTTTGCCTTCACAAATGCTTTATTAAACATCATTAGCACTTGAATTGAACCTGAAAAGTCGGAAAGGACACCCATGATGATCCCCAACACCAGGAGTTGATGAAATGACCTTTTGACAAGAAAAAGGTGTGTAATCCTACAATACCAATAAGAAAAAAGATGACGATAGATTAAATTCACAGAAGCCAAGGGATAAGCAAAGAGAATATTGGTTTCACTGCAAGTTGTCATGACAACTTCCAAAAGAGAATGACTAGTACAACATCATGTAAATGGTTATCAAAAAAATTACTCCCATTTTTGCAAGGAAGGTGAGGGAGAAATAAAGAATGCTTACTGTTCTTTTCCCTTCTCTTCCATAACTGTGCCGTATGTTATAAGCATACTCTTTTTCAAACCTTTCAGCACCAACCTATGAGAACAAAATTCATCATGAACTAATGATGCAGTATTTAGGTTGCCCAGCAAATGCATGAATACAAAGAACAATACACCACAGAAAACACAATGCCAAGTCTCTACCCAATTTCAAACGATTCATATGCTTAATTTTGAACCCAGTGGTCCCTTGAAAAAAGGCAGCTTTGAGGTGGTTTTCTCAATTAAAATAGCTTGGATTAAAATTGGTATTAATGCCTAATTAGTCAAAAACACCTGCAATACCTTTCGCTCGTTAACAAAAGCTTATGGTGTCAAAATAGTTGCAAGATCCCCACAAGTAAAGCAACACCTCTGACCAACAGTGGATCAACCAAAATAAGAACGAAAATTTCTCAAAATGAAATTTGATCACATGGCAAGTCCATGAAGAAGAGTATTGTACTGAATTCAGTACTTACAAATCTTTGAGGCCTGAAGTAGGATATGTTTCAGGTTCAAGTATTGCTAAGGAGTCAGGAAATTCTAAGAGCAAGTGATATGGCAACCCTATAATGTTGGCTTAGTAAAGAACGGATGTCCGTGCAATCTTGCATTTGGGCCACCCACTTAGGCTTTGGCCAGTGTCTTACAGGTCCATGAGTTATTGGGGATTCTATGGGCTTACAATACTACGTAGGTCTACACATTCATGAAGATTAAAATTACACTAACAGCGACAAGCAACAATTAATCCTAGTCACTTTCCGACAAAATGGCAACTTTTCTTCATTGACTAGAATCCTAAAAAATAATGCATGTGATACTAGTCACCATACCTTCTGCAAGTACATCAGAACAGCAGCATCAAATGCTCACAACATGTGTACAAGGACCCATGCATAGCATGCACGCACATACATATGCATGCTGGCGAATAGAGATGCAAACTTAGCATGTACGGTGGACCCACACAAACCAATCTATGTATGCAAAGTGATGCTACAGGTGGTTATCAACCTCTAAAATGTGCTTTACAAATTCCATTAAGACCTCAAAGTTAACATGGTTCATGTCAGCGAACAATAGAGGAATTCCAAAATTGGTTATTTACCAGTTAACAAATCTGTTCTTGAAAATCAGTATATCCATTTTCCACTTGCCATAAACAATGGCTATAGTGAATTACATATATGGTACCTCTTAGACCATTCTTTTTCTCTACTTCAAATTAAATGCAAACTAGTGTGCAAATGCACTCAAATGTCCGTTTGCATAGCAAAATACCTTGCAGTATGCCAGCGCACCTTTATCTAGTTATTAGCATTGCATAGAATCTCATGAATAAGGCATGATCCCCTATAAGAAGCATGCACAGAAGTTTCTCATGACGATTACGACATGTGTCCGTGAAGAGAAGTGGCATTAGCTTTACAGATGACCAATAATTACTTATCTTTTCACCCTTAGCCTTTTCTTCTTAAATAGAGGAAAGCAGGAGAAAAATGATGCTGCACATGACTTTCTAAACATAAGTATTAAAGGAAAAAGATCTCAGATGACCAGGACACTTGAGAAACTAATGTTTGATGCAAAAATAATACATCAACTTACCTTTTGGGAGAATTCAGCTCTCCAGAATGCAAGTGCATCATCCAGCTTCAAGCCAACTCCCTGTATACAGACAGACAAACTTGAGAGAGAAAAAAAGACTACTGACTAATGGCTAGAAAACATGTCAATCATCCAATTACAGATAGATATCTCAGTTCGACCAAAGAAAAAATAGATATCTCAGAATCATAATTGCAATCTCGTTAACTTTAGCTGATATTTGGTATCTGCCAGTGCTTTTTCTTTCTTTATTTTCTACATGTACCAAATTGCAGAAATTTCTGCTACATTCAACAGTTAATTGCATCAACTGTGGAATGAATTCATCCTCCTTCACTTTTCGGCAAAAAACTCCATGGAGAACATTTAATAATCATGTTAAATTATGCAATTATAACCAGATTTTCCGATAAAACAAAAAAGAAAAGCTGTTGTGAGAAACATGTGATCGAACAATATAATAAACATAATAAGGAAATAAATTGAACATTGGATTTACGCGGTTCCATTGGTGAGACTTATCCCACGAGAAGAGCAGGACAAGATTCTACTCTAGACTAAGCAATATAACAGAAATTACAACAATACTTGAGTCACTCAAATACTTTCCCAACCCCCAATTACATAACTCATAGTGTTTCGCCCTATAGTTCCTTGCAAGACAATCTCTCAATCTCACAAAGGAATTTACAAATCTTACCACAAGATTTATTGGACACTGGATTTACACGTTTCAGTTGGTGGGACTTATTCCACAATGAGAGCAGCACAAAATTCCATTTTAGATTAAGCGATACAACGGAGATTACAGCCAGCCATACTCTAGTCACTCAAATACTCTTAATGTTTTCCAAGCCCCAATTACATAACTCCCAATGTATAGCCCTATTATTTCTTGCGAGACAATCCCTCGATCTCACAAAGGAATTCACAAATCTTACCACAGAATTTATTGGCATGAACACTCATTTTCTTAGATGCTATTATGAAAAATACCCACTTTTCATATATAAAGTAATTGGATTCATAATAGCAAACCCCTTTTAGTTAACCAACTCCAATAAAGAAACCTAATTGGATCACGTTTCCATTACGAGCTCAAACTCGAGACATTGTTAAAATATAAATATTCATAGCATGTCAAGATATGACAATTAACATGACAACTAATAATGTTAATTCTTAAAGCAAATTTAAAGTGATTTTCATGCGTCGCACAACTGTCCATATTTCTAAATATTGAGATATGATGAGAAACAGAGCTTCAGATAACCATAAAATGCCAAAGTATAATTAACCTTGAGAAAGAGACCTAATTGCATCCTCCCTCCATGCTTTAAATGATGGTCTTCCTTCAACTGCAATTTAGAGCAAAAACAGGAATTAAGGGAGATGAAGAAGAGGGAAAAAAGTTGTGACGCAGCAGCAGAGTAGAGAGCTTCGCTTTAGAATTATAACACGCACCTTTTCATAGAGGTGACGCATACAGAGAGGGAAGGAACTCTTAGCCAAATGATCTATATCTTTTAGTGATATTTCAGCAGATTCTCTTGGCTGAATATGCACTTTGTCAAAGTCAGCACATGAGAAATTCTAAAATAAGATTTAAAAGGTGATTCAAAATTATGTATGAATACCTGTGAATAATCAGGACCCAAGTAGCTCGTTGACAACACTTCAACAATCTAAATGTTGTTATGAAAAAGAAAAATAGTGAAAAGGTCTGAGGCCATGCATAAAATAGATATACATAGCATCGTTACTTTTTTTATTCAGTATAGCATCGTTACTTCTGGGCAACACTTACGGGGGTCAAGCGATCTTTCTCTTGTTCTTTGATAGATGAGGTCCATTTCCTGCAAGCAAAAGTAGAATTTGACAGAGTCAGCAATTTCGCCGTGTCTCCTTACCAAGTATCAAGCAAGCAGCAGCATCTAACAATATACAGAAACTGCCATTCACCAAATATCAGAAAGAATGAGATTAAAACACACCACGTAATCTCTGTCATTTTCATTTCTTATTTTAGTCAAAAAAACACTATCTCTTAGAATTCAGATAGCTTTATCTTTAATGACGTCTAGTAAGAGTTGTTCCCTACTAGAGATCGCCTTCGAAATTAGGCCAAGATAATTATTTTATAGGGAGAGCGATGGTGTTGAAAAATTATATCAATAGAACCTCATTTTTCAGTAAAACCAAGGAGAGCCTCAGCATGCAAAGCCTTTGCAGCCAATTTGTTGCATCTGAAAAATGCCCTAGCTGCATGCAACCTTTTTCTTGGTTTTATGCATCAACTACCCAGAATGTTATTTTTTAGACCAATGATTGGCTAAAAAGTAGGTACCAAAGTATGGCAAGCTTAACCATGGCAGATGAAATCACCTGTTTGTCAGGATGAGCGCCTTTGACAGAAAACTACGGAACTGTGTGACAACAAGCGAAACCACCTGAGGAGAAAAAATAACATCGTAGAGCCATCAAGCAACCGAACCAAGTTGACAGTGATATGACATATAAAAAATTGAAGAACATTATGTGTCACCTGATTCATAGCCACATATGCATTTCCTTGATGAATATACACCTTGCGGCTAGCTACAAGTTCTGGAACTTCTTCAAAAGGTACCTTCATCCGGTTGAGACAAAGGTAAGTAAAGCAGCCAATCACAGCCAGCCAATATGGTCTCGCTGACCAAACTCAAGATACTCAATAAAGATGCTCATTCTTTCATAGATGCGTAACACTTGACTCAATGAATCATTTGTAGCACATTCAATCGAAGATTTTCAAAACAAGAATCTAGCTAAGCTAATATATTGTAGTAATATCAAACTGAGTAAATCACAAGTCATCAGAGCTTCATTAGAAAGAAACATAGACGCAGTGAAGTCAGATTAACCTCACCTTGTAAAATATAGTATCCGCTGCAACAGAGAAAGGTCAAACAAATTTGGTTAGAGTTTCAACAAGTAAGAGATCCATTATACATGATTAATAGCGATTGATCAATAACTTGGGCTGTAACTTATGAATTACAGAAGATGAGATGGAATATCATCAAATTCACCCAAGCTTTCCTCTTGGAATTTGGCCATCAATCACTTTACCAGAGACTGAATCAGACGGACATCGTGAGGCAAGCCTTTAGGGAATAGCAAAATCTAGAACCTTTCTACAGAGACATTCATTCTGAAGGCATTACCGCATTATGACTGATACATGATTTGTAGCCTGGGTATTTAACTCGAGGAAAAATGTTAACAAACAGTGATTTATCGAAATTATTGCACCTGTTTGCAGAGGCTGACCAATGGAACGTGCAACCTGGCTCAATTTATCCTTCACACTCTGTAAGATAACAGACCAGTAAAACTTTAACAGCCTTTCTGGAAGGTTCAAGCAAGTAACTACATTGTGGCAAACAAGGGTTTGTTCAACTTCTATGTTTCCAATCAAACAATACAAGCACGAAAACTAAAGTAGCAAAACTTGTAATCCATTAACTCACTATATTGTCGTAATCCAACCGTGTAAAGGGTATCTCCTACCTCAAATTCTGCAGTATTAACTGCCTTGTAGGGGAGGTCGAAATCAGCCATAAGTGCTCTCTGAAAGTAATTAGCATGGGATGCAATTACTCAGTCCCCCTACTTCAGCACCAAAAGCATGGCGAAGCACAAAAAGATGAGTGTCTACCTGAGCTTCCACACTTTGATCCTTGAAACGGTATCGGAAGAGCGTCGTCTCCATCGAGAGAAACCACTTCCGCAGATCCTCACTGAGGGAAAAAACCATCGAACAGAAGTCAAATACGACCGAATCAATTACGTAAATTAGGCACCCAGCGCGACACAGTGGAAATCGTACGTTCTACAGTACACGAGTCGCAGGACGAAATGAGAGATGACATCCTTGTTGACCGACGGCTTAGGATGCTTCATGTGCGCTCTCCACAGCTCACCGACCTACACAACTTCGAACCGATAAGCAATTGTAGCTACAAGGGCAAGCTTGATCGCACAACGACCACGGGAAACGAACTCGTCCGTACAAGCTTCTCCCCCGCCTTACCAGCTTTTCCATCTCCTCGGGCTTCTTCCCTCGGGATAGTCCATCGGAGATCGCCTTGAGAACTGCGTCATACACATCGATTCGTGCAAATTCGCGTGAATATTCCTCGAGAAAAGAGAAGGCCGTCGATACGAATGGGATCGACGAGTTCTATACTTCCTAAGCAGCCAGTGGCAAACAAGATTGACACAGAGAGAGAGAAGCACCTCGGAGGCGATCGACGGCGAAAGCCTCGAAGTCCTCGAGCCGGACCTCGACCGGCGGCGGCGAGCGGTAGAGAGGAAGCGTGGGGGCGGCGGCGCCGTCGCTCTGGTGGTAAACCCGCCGCGCTCCGAGGCTCTGCATCTCTCTCTCTCTCTCTCTCTCTGTTCCTGGATCTCTTCTCTGCTCGCTCAAGGTTAGCGCGCGCGAAGCAGTAACCAAACGCGGGAAATGGCGGGAGATGACGTCATCGGCGCCGAGCCACTTTGCTCGGGGGCCGAGCGCTCGGCTCGGCGCGTGAGGTGGGCTTTTTACGGCCCATCTGTTCTCATGGACCGCCGTCACATCCATGGGCTTGAGCAATACAATTTTTAGGCCAGGCCCATCGGTCGGACCGGTCCGGTTCAAATTTTAAGAATTTTCCGGTTGAGGTCCAAGTGTTCGATATCGACTTCCATCCAATTTGGTTGCTCTAACCCCCCGCAATCAATGTTAAGATATTTATATGTTCGGATGTAAACAAACTTAGTGTGAATTAATGAAGTTCTTAGCTGTTCGACCCAAAAAAAAAAAAATGTACGGTCCTCCCAAAGACGAGTCTGGATGAGGTTTTTAGGCTGATGAGTACGGACCTCGCCTCAATGAGTTTGGGATAAGATTAACAATAATGATATCACTAGCCCCCATTTAAATAATTGATTTATCTCATGACGTGGCAAAAACGTAGCTTGTCATTTAAATGGATCGATCATGTTCGAGCATCCAGAAGGAATCCGTCATGTTGATTAAACCAGTATTATAAAACGATCTCCGTATATTTAGGATAATCCTACAATACACACAAACCCTCAAGTGATTGATCCTCGCCATACGCGGTAATCCATCGTCCCGCACAGACCAAGTAACAAGTTTGCACTTCTAGTGATCAAGAATCAAACAAGCAAGTGGGATTTTGGAACTAGCACATGAATAGTAACATTTTCAGGCATTTATAAGCACAATCAGAAGCGATCATCATCTTTGCAAGCTATTTAAGAAGCAGGTTTCAAGAGGGAGGACCCCCTCTTTCTTATTTTCAACAGTTCCCACTCAAAAGCTCTTACGTACATCACTCGCACACTATCAGCAAATAATAAGTGCATAAGAGAAAGTAAAACACGCTACAAGCTTGGAAACAAGTCGCACGTGTCGTCGACGTCTTCGCGCTCCGGTCGCCCGTCCGGCAGCCTTCTATCTGCTTTCAGAGCTCCAGCACCAGGTCTGCATTTACCACAGTATCAACTATCAGCGATAGAGCTTAGTTCTCTTTCGGGAGTGCGAAAGAGTCTTGAGAAAGTTTTATATGCCAATGAAGTTATAACTGGTAATTTCACATACGAGCCGGTAAATTTACGTAAGTTTGCTGGGATTTCCTAATATAGAAAAAAATTAGTATTTACTGAATCAATGATAGGATGAGCACGGCACACGCGACTTACAGTCCGCATCGGTCTTGATCCAGCACTCCCGGTTCCCGTTGGATTCGTCCCCGGTCAGCAGGATCCGGGCACGATTCGACTGGCTCTTGAGACGCCGGAGCTTTTCCTTCAGGAGGATCTTTTCAGGGACCAGCACGATGTCTTCTTCAGGAAGGACCTGGTTACCAATGCTGTGCCCATTGCTCTTCGTTGCTTTCTTCTTCACTCCAATCTTCTGCTGCTCACCGGACTTCTTTGCCGCGGCCGCGTTTTCAGGGTGGACTTTCTTGTGGAACATATGCAGGATCTGCACAGTACACGGCAGGTGGGGCTACCTGAATTAAACTTCTCTAGAATGCGGCAATTTTGCATGCTTCATGAGTACATGAGCGAACATTTTTATTTCAGCCAGCAAGCATAGAGAAGGACTCTAGGAGATCATTAAACCTTTCGGACATTTCACGAACTGCACAGATACGGTGCGTCAAATGCGTGTCACCATATGTATGCTCATCTGTACTCGGATCCGCCTATGCTAACCCTTGAAGGACCATCATGATGTATTCCTATGCTTGACAGGCAGGACAGTTTCTAATGCTATTTTGGAATGTATTCCTATATTTGTTCAGATTCATGTGAGTACCAGCAATTGTATAGGAGCATTGAGTGCGTGCACTGCGAATACCTAATGTGATGACTTGATACTAGAAATGCGTACCTTATGCAGCTTAGTCTCCGCCGAACCTGAATCGGAACTTGTCCCTGCATCAAAAGCGGAGCTCCGGGCTGCAGGATTAGCTTGAAGAGCCTTCTTTTTCAGCTTCTTCTTTACGAAATGCACCATGGAACCGTCCCAATCCTTTTTGCTGCAGCCGTACTCCTCCTCGGTCATCTTGGTCCTCTGGAACAGCTCTCCGAGCGATGTCCTGTGATCCTTCTTGTCCGCTTTAGGTGCTTCCAACACTTCTACCGCCGAGCCGAACAAGTAGCCCTGAAGCGGGCACACAGCACTCCCATTGCTTGAATTGGTCTCTTGCGCTTCCACCTTACTGCCGAGCGTGATGGTGCTCCCATGGCTGCTCCTCCCCGTGCTGACGTGGCTGTTCCTCCCGGATGACTGGTTGCCCCACTCATCCTTGTTCGCCTCAGCTGCGAGCACCTTCTCCAGCTCTTCATTGATCAGCTTCAGATCGTTCTCAGTCACCTCAGTCTCTTTCTCGGTTATGTTCTCGAGAGAATAGGAGAAAGTTGGAGTTGCAGGATCAGGGATGAGAGCAGGCTCAGAACCGAAGGTGCCAATCGCTAGGAAACCATGGAAAAGGTCGGTTATCTCAGCAGCTAATGGCTCTTCTTTGTAGTGTTCTTCATCTGGCAAAATGGCCGATTCCAAGCAGGCAAAGGACTTTCGGAGGAGTTCGCGCTGAGACTGTTTGAGGTGCTCGGCACCGCAGCTTCGCCTCTGAGAGAATTTCTGATCATCCAGAGATGGCTGTCCTGAAAGATGATTAGACGGATAAGGCGGCCTGATACGCCCGAAAGAACTAGGATATACTAGTGAGCGTTTCCAAGTAGGAAAGGCACATTTATGTTGGCTGGGCTTTGGCCTTCTATCGGATAGCAGTTAATTACTGTGGCATTGCCATAAGAAGTCGTGCATCGCATTGACGATATAATCCTCGTCGGAGCCTTCCTTAGAGTATGATTAACGGACGCCCTATTTAAGTCAATTCATGCAATGTTCTTATGCTTATGAGATCAGTCTTTAGGTAACTTCGTCGAAGTTCAACCGGGCTAGACACATCGCGATCAAATCCGCACCTACATAGTCCAATCTGTAGATGAACCCACTTCAGAGAAGCAAGAACTTACATGCCTGGACTTACCTATGGTGGCGCCAAAATCCTTGAGTGGCTCGTGGCCGTTGTGCCGAGACTTGCGGTGCATCCAGCCAGGTAACTGCAGATACCGGAACAGAACATTCAATCCATTGATTGTTCGGGACCTAACAAAACATTAGTATCGGAATCGGACTTTACCTTCATCTTCGATCGTTCGGTGAAAGCTCTCAACTCTCGATCGCTCCGGTAACGCAAGAACAGTACTTGGAATGAACTTTTTCCAAACGATAGTATTTAATAGCTGTCTGCTGATGGTCCAAGAAAGAGATGGATGGAATGAAACACGCAGAAAGTAAGAAATCCTGGGGTGGTTATAATTTCAATTTGTCAGGGGGAGAAACAGCAACTCATGTGGCGAAATGGAGGAGGTGGGGGTCCTGAAGCTCCCAAGTTGCATGATTCAACAACACGATCTGAAGCCATCTTGCGTATGTCCATTTCTTGAGGTTGTTTTGCGAATTCCCTTTCGCCATTTCCCCTCGCTGCTTTTGTTGGTTTTGTTTGGTGTTAATCAAGCCGCACAGCGCATCATACTACACGCGCGAGCACAGAGACCATCAATCGGTCGTGGTACCATGGCTTGGCATGATGTTCGGTTCATTGTGTGAGAAAAAAATGTAATGTTTTCGCATCACAGTAAGATCTTGTGAGCCTTGGGTTTTCAAACGTGTGTGAGATCTCACATAGCTCGCGCCTAAGCTATCGTGCCGGTAGATAAGTGTCGATCAACTTCAAACTGGAACGATGTGTTTTAAAGTACTCCAGGGGGCGAATAACCTGTAACCAAAACGAACATCATATAGTATTAGTGGTAGAGAGCTGCCTATGGAGTATCAAAGCCAAGATGGGATTGTTCGGCGTAAGCTAAGTGACATCAATATTTGAGATAAGGTAAAGCCTAGTGAGAGAATAGCATCATCAGCAAAATTGGACAAGCTCGCGTGATTTGTGAAATTGGCACATTATAGTTATCCTTAAATTGTGCAAGCATGTCAATTTATTGATATCGCTTTTCGAAACGATAATCTTAAGAAAGTTTATTTATCGTGAAAAAGATTTAATCAATCGATCATGCAGTTCGTACTTCGAAATGGATACCCACCTTCCTTTTCATGATTTAACTGGCTTCCATACATAGAGAGGACTTATATGTGTTTACAAAAAGAATTATTTGTAGGCCCTGATGCAAAGACTTTATGTGCATCTGAGTTGTTAACTTAGATTATTCGATGAGATCCATCAAATTCAACATCTCACGAATACAGAGCGAGTCGACGTGGTGTCCCCATCTCCTATAGCGTGTCCAGTAGCGGGATCGCCGACGATAATAAGACAGGATAATAAGGACGATGCACGCATTAATTCCCAAAGCTTTCGAATCATTCACTTTCCGAAGCGCAAGTTTCCACTACAAAATGCACTGCTCCACGGACCCAACAGGATGGCCTTTTGTTTGTCACTACCCTCATTAACTTATAATGAACTTCTGATTCTAAACTCTCGGGAGGAAGTAGGGGCGGCGTACCTTTACTTTTCCTATCGTTTGGAAAGACTTGCATGTTGTGCCCGGAACTGTCCAAGACCAAATCTGAGTGGACGTGGCCAGCGGTTCTTATGGGGTATCGTGACTCGTGACTACTAGATATTAGCCATTGGGCGGTTTATTTAGGGATACGAACGGTGAAGCCCGACTACCTAGGGCGCGCATGGTAACATTTCTATTCCAGAAATCAATTTCTGACCAGAAATAGATTTTTCTATTTCTATTCGGTGGATGAGTTTCTGAGCAAAAATGTGTGTTTGATAATGACACAAAATTTCTATTTCCGAAATAGAAATTTGTTTGATAACGACATAAAATTTCTCCCTTCCGGGCGGCCGACGGAGGACAGCGGGTGGCGGCGGGGGGCGGAGGACGGTGGCCGGCGGTGGGAGGCGACCAGCTAGTGGCGACGGATGACGGCGGCTGGTAGCGGGAGGCGATCGGCGACTGGCGGTGGCCATCGTCGGGTGGTGGCCAGCGTCGGGTGGTGGAGCACGGCGGCCGGCGGCTAATAGCAGCGGCGGTTGCCGAGGGCGGAGGGCCGCCGGCGTCGGGTGATGGAGCACGGCGGCTGGCAGTGGAGGACGGCGGTCGGTGGTGGGCACCCGGCGGTGGAGGGCGGCTGGGGTCGAGCGGTGGAGCATGGCGGCCGGCTGCGGAGGACGGCGGCTGGTGGTGGGTGACGGCCAGCGTCGGGCGGCGGAGGACGGTGGTCGGCGACAAGAGGCGGCCGGCGAGCGGGAGGCGGCCGAGGTCGGGCAGCGGAGGACGGTGGTCGGCAGCAAGAGGCGGCTGACGGGCGGGAGGCGGCCGGCGGCGGCCAAGGACGGTGGGAGGCGACGGTGGGCGGGTTGCGGCCAACGTTGGGCGGTGGCAAACGACGGAGGATGACGGTGGGAGGAGACGGTCGGCGAAGGACGCTGGCGGTAGGCAAAGGACGCCGGCGGTAGGCAGCCGACAGTGGCGAGAGGCGGCCGGCGTTGGCAGGAGGCGGCCGGCGATAATAGCGAGTGGCAAGGGGGTAACCGGTTAGTAGCGAGGGCAAGCGATAAGAAGATTTTTTATTTCTCATTTCTGTTCCAGAAATAGAAAAGTAATTTTTTTTTACTTCTGATTTCTGTTCCAAACCTATTTCTGGAATAGAAATTTGTTCCAGAAATAGAAAAATGAAATTGCGTTACCAAACGGATTTCTGTTCCAAACCTGTTCCCGGGAACAGAAAAATAGAAAAATAGAGAAATAGAAATGTTACCATGCGCGCCCCTAGAAGCCTCTGGAACATCGCTGCAAATCCCAAAAAATCATAGACCAGTTAAGTCTGAGCTTTTAGCATGTGCATCCAAATAGAATGCATGAACTTGAACGTGGACGTGGCCAGCGGTTCTTATGGATTTGAATATGCGACCTCCGGTTCATAAACTTGAACTCCGTGACATATTATAACGATTCGGTCTAACGAGAGCGGGAAGTGGTCACCGAAGCCAGATAGCCTGAAAGAGAAGCGACTCCTGCTAGGCTTCTATGGGTGCGAATGGTAACCATTCTGCTCCAGAAATCAAATTCTTGCCAGAAATTGATTTCTGGAGGAGAAATCTGTTTGGTAAAACATGACTAATTCTGCTCCAGAAATTGATTTCTGGAACAGAAATCTATTTTGATTTATTGATTTTTTTTGCACCTAAAAAAATTTAAATTTTACTCAAAGTGGGTGGCCACATGTATTATAAGCCATTCTGTAAAGTTTTGAAATTTTTGATTTTTTAAAATTTTTTTTTGGCACCTAAAAAATTTTAAATTTCACTCAAAGTGGGTGGCCACAAGTATTCTAAGCCATTTTGTGAAGTTTTGAATTTTTTTATTTTTTTATTTTTTTGGGCACCTCAAAAAATTTAAATTTTACTCAAAGTGGGTGGCTACAGATATTCTAAGTCATTCTGTGAAGTTTTGAAATTTTTTATTTTTTTTTATTTTTTTGGGCACCTCAAAAAATTTAAATTTCACTCAAAGTGGGTGGCCACAGGTATTTTAAGCCATTTTGTGAAGTTTTGAAAATTTTTATTTTTTTATTATTTTTCTTTTTTTTGGGCACCTCAAAAAATTTAAATTTCACTCAAAGTAGGTGGCCACAGGTATTTTAAGCCATTTTGTGAAGTTTTGAAATTTTTGATTTTTTTTCGGCATCTCAAAAAATTTAAATTTCACTCAAAGTGGATAGCCACAAGTATTCTAAGCTATTATGTGAAGTTTTGAAGTTTTTTATTTTTTTGGGCACCTTAAAAAATTTAAATTTCACTCAAAGTGGGTGGCCACGGGTATTCTAAGCCATTTTGTGAAATTTTGAAATTTTTGATTTTTTGATTTTTTGAAATTTTTTATTTCTTGTAAAAAAGGAAATTTGGGCTAGAATGCATTCTTGAATAGAGAAGCTACAAAAAGTAGCTTCTCTTTTTTGGGCCAAAACTCATTCTAGAAGCAAAAATTCATTCTAGAGCAAAAAAAAGAATGAAGTTTTACCAAACGCCTTTTTATTCCAGAATGCAAAAATTGCTCCAGAATGCATTCCAAAATTATTTTAACAAAACGCATTTCTGTTCCGGAATGCATTCTGGAGCAGAATTTCTGCTCCAGAACGGATTCCATGCGCGTCCTATGACGATGAAAGGAGTAGGAATGAATCGAATTGTCCACTAAACAAGCGGAGAGCGATTTTGGAATATATATATGTAAAAGCTGGAATTAACTCATTGAGACACTTTTTGAGTAATGACAATTCTGAGCTTTGAAACTCTAAAGTAAAGCGTGATCAGGTAGGAGCACTCTCAAGAAGTGCAATTTCTTAGGAAAGTGCCTACCTATACGCTAAAGAACAAAATCGTGAGACTTGATATGGGATAGACCAAAACGGACAATACATCAGTGAGTTAATCCAAAGATGTCACAATATGATATCAGAACTAGGTTTACCCATGAAGTGATAAGGTACGCCAAGTGATTGAAGTAGTAGAGTAGATCGTGGAAGTATAAAACAGTAAATGTATGTGTTTGCCCTTGATTGGTTAAGTGGTACAAGTAGCTTCTGTTACTAATTAGTTAGCCATTAAATTAAGTAAAATGCGTAAGCCCTATAAAACAACATGAATTATGGTGGCAATTTGAAGCAAGATCCTCATATGGAAGGAATCCTCTTGGCACTTGCAAATGTCGGGAGTTTGATGGAAAAGCAGGTACTACAACAAGCTACCTCTAGTTCGGGAAACGGAGAGCGTCATTTGCAAGGTTTAATCGAATAATTCTTGAAGTTGAAACCACCAAGGTTTGCTTGAGTAGGAAATCCTGAAAAGGGGGAATTGTGGATCGACGGGATGGAGAATATATTGGACTTGCTAGGTTGCAATGATATTGACAAGATAGGCTCTAGCTAAATACCAACTTAAAGGAAATGCCGGTCATTGGTGAAGGGCATCTAAGAAAATGGTGTTTTCAATTGGTACTACTGTGACTTGGGGTGGCTTTATCAATGCTGGGCACTTCAGTGACATGGCAGGTGGCGTGCCGCTACGCTCCGCCGCGAGGATACAAGCTGCCGTGCTGCATGTCCTTGTCCTCCGATCAAGGGATGAAGATCTCGTGCGCTACATACGCGTGCGACTGCAAGCCCTCCGATGCGCTACATACGCATGCGACTGCAAGCCCTCCGACACCGAGTTGTGCGCTCGGTAAGTCTTTTTCCATGTTATTGTCTACCTTCTTTTCTTTCCTTTATCATGATGCCTTAACATTAGGCCAATTTTTAACCATGAGGACAATACTTTGTGTGATGGGCTTTATTGAGTTAATACCGGAGACGTTCCAATTTGATCCATAGAACGCAGGTTGGCCTGCTCATAAAGGATCGGAGAGCACATAGTTGATAGTTCATTATATTCGCAACACAACCATGGATTGGCTTCATAACTGGAAAAAAAATGGACATGCTTATGTTGCTTAGATGTATTGATGCCGAGTGCAAATAAATTCGTAAATAAGTCGTCTGCCTGAGTTTTCGACTCGTGTCTTACCTGATGTTGTGAGGTTCATAGGACATTTTTCATAGACACGGTGTATGGAATTTTCATGTCTCGAAAGAGTGCGAAAAAGGCACGAATGTTCAAGCGAGATGGCAAATGTTCGTCGCTTGCAGGAGTTCCGGCAAATCTGAGCGTGGGAA